GGGGAGCGGAGGAACGGGAGAAGCCCGGGCCCTGCTCCCGATCCTGCTCTGTGCCAGGGTGTAGGGGCAGCACATCGCCTGGTGGGGGCGGCGGTAGAAACACAGAGCAAAATGCTGGTGGGCAGAGCGCAGCGCGGGGTGAGGAGGCTCCGGGGCGAGGACGTCCCTCGGCGGGCAGCGCGGGGGCTTCTGAGGGAGCCTCTTGGCAGGGCAGGGGCAAGCTTCCTTCAGAGGGTCTGTTTTTGGCAGAGGGGAGCTCGACTGTGACCAGCTGAGGAAAATTTCAAGTGGTGGCTTCTCAACTGTAAGTTCCCTGACAGAGGCGTCCTCTGGAAAGGTAAGGAGGGGTAGAGGCTTTTTTAAAATTATTTTGGAAAGTGCAACGGGCTGATGCAAGTCACACGTGCTTTCAGCTCCTTGATGATGCGGAAATGTTTTCTTGCACATAATGGAGCTTTTTTTCACAAGAAAAAAAAATGTTGGTGTAACTCAGGCTCGGTTTTACCAAAAGGAGACTGCAATCACACGTTGGCTGTGTATTTCCACACTTTCCTGTTGCAGTTTTGGTAATTAATTCCAGAGGACTCAAACGATACGTAGGTGGGCAAAGCGTCCACAAGAATAAACTGCTGCCAGATTGATCAGCAAGGAAGTTTGTGTCTATTGCAGGGGAGTTTTGAACGCTCAGTGCTTACCGTCATCCAGCAGCTTTCCCAGGAAAAAATGGACGATTTGTTTAGTTCATCAAAAGTGAAAAAAGCTGGCATCTTCCTGCTGGACAAGCCCAAGTCTAGAAGTGTTGGGAGGAAACCTGGGAGAACAAGGCACATCTGAATGCAGCAGAATTTGAGGTAAACTTAATTTTTGCTTCTACAGACAGCAAGCAAACTGCAAAAATTGCTCTTCTGCATACTTCAATTACAAGCAGCAATACAGATACTCATCTAACCCACGTGTTATACTTGCATCTTTGCTGTGACCAGTCATCTTTAAGAGGTTGAGTCTCATGAGGTTGAATTGAAAATAGACAATTACTATCTTCGTTTCTTGCAAAGATTGTTGCTAGGTAAGTATACATAGCTGCTGTTAGCCTCTGGATGCTTCCCCCCATATATGGTGTAGAATTTCAACATCAGTTATGCAAAACTTTATTGTTAACAGTAGGTTACATCCCATATATACAGAAACAAGTTCTTTAAGGATCCAACTGGGACACACCATTGCTTTCATCTTGTAAAACAGTGCTGCATGGATGAAAGAGAATTACACATTTTTTCAGAAGGCGTACGGTTCCCCTTGGATTTCTGTCACCATGGTAACACAGAGATAACGGGCCTGATTTCAACCTGTGTTCTGTTGTTCCACCAGTAAAGAATTGAATTCTGTAAATACCACCCTAGCACTGGAATAAAATACTGGCCTTTTACTTCCCCATTAAAACAAAGCAACCCTAAAAACCAAAAAAACCCACCACAGGTATATTGCTACAGTGTCACATTCATTCCTATAAAGTGCCAAAATCGGTTCCGTAACAGAATTATGCAGGACATCTTGCTTCATAAACCCTGTGACCACAGTGAAGAAGGGGAGAGCATTAGATTTTAATGAATACAAAATAAACATGAATGCACTCAACAGAACTTAAGCTTGAATTTTTTTTTTTAAAAAAAAAAAAAGGCACCCCCATGAAATTTTCACGTGTTTTATTTAGGTGAACATACACATGGTCCACATACTCAATGAAAATAGTCATAAAATAATTTAAGAACTTGTGTTGAAAGGTATTAGCAGCACCATCAGTATTGGAATAGCAGAAAACTCACACCTCTCCATAGGGCATACGTTTATGCCTGGGTAAAAATGCCATCGTTTCTAACAAGGGATGGGAATGGCTTTGTAGGATGCTTTTGGGAGTCAGTTTTAAAACACACAAATTTTTTGCTAAATACTTTGACGATTAATGTTACAAAAAATACAACTAAATAAGATACTGCATAGTATTTTAATTAACGTAAAGAAATCGACATTGAGCTGTGTAAAGCAAAACTCAACATCTCTGCTTCCACGTACGTTTCATTTCTGAGTAGAGAAATCTAAAATTTAAAAACAAAATATAGACCTAGTGTATTCTCTAAAAGACACACTTTAGGTGGAACATATAGTACTACGAAAATACATATCTTCCATTCTGTTTAATAATTTACTTTAGTTAAAAAGTTGTGAAATTCTCATCACAAGAAGCGTATACAAATTCATGACTTTAGTAAATTAACAAAAAGGATTATTTTTTTAAGACAAGGTTTAGCCCCGCTGTAACAATTATACAAGGAAGAAAAGAGACTACATTTATATGAAGGAATACAAATTTACACACATTTTACAGTGACTTATACCCTACACATCTACAAAATTCACAGTTATAATACAAGCAAGTACAAGGCTGGGATAAAGCTGTTTGATACCAAAAAAAGTTTCTACTTTAAAAAAAGAGAAAACGAGAAGAGTTTCAGACTTGTGCACCAACTTTAAAATTCTAATCAAAATTCAGCCCCTTCCAGCAGCGCCCTTCAGCAGACGCACACCGCCTTCCTGGGCGGGTGGAAGAGCGAGCTGCTGAGCTTCTTCTGGCCCCGCAGGCTGCGCCGCATGGTCAGCTTGCTGGAGTTCCTGCGCTGCGGAGTTGCAGACATGCCTTCTGGCTGGGCACTCATGTTTCGACCCAGCCCACGTCTTGGCTTTTTCACGGCTGGGCCGGAGTTAGATTCTTCCAGTGTCCTTTTAAAGTTTGCTGTGGGTGTCCTCTCCGCGTCTTGGGCTTTTGTTTGGCCGTTAGGAGACACCTTGAAGCCTTTTTGGTCCGTGCCTGAATTTGTGGCGTTGGAAGGGGAGAGACTGACTGACAAACCATTACTGTAGGACTCGTGTATCCTCAACGCCAGCGCTTTGCTGCACTTCTCCTCCTGGGGACCCGAATCCTTCAAGGTTGCTCCCGATGAAGGTAAATTGCTTTTTGCAATCTCATTTGGCAGCTCTAAGATTTTTTCTGAGATCATGTTGCTATGCATGAGGGGAGGAACAGGCTCAGAGGCATTCAGTCGTGGCCATGGATCATCTTCTAAAAGCTGAGGGAAAAGAGAAAAAAGTATTTAGGCATAAATACAATTATTTCACCTGCATTATCCTTTGAGGGTAGAGACAGTGTGTGATAGAACTTAAAACCTTCTAAATCTTATCAGAGACAGAAAAGTCCTTCTCCCAAAGGGTTATCTTTTCTCCGCACTGAGAGGCAGCAGCAGATTCAGACTGCAGATCTGAACTTGGTACTTTGTGCACAGCAACTTCATAAAAGCATTTATTTCAGTCATCCCATGTCCAAGTGTCCCAATGGCAGGCGTAACCTTTGCACCATGGGCTGCTCAGACTTACCCAGCCCGTGCACCTTCCTCTTTGCTGCTACAAAATGCTGAGGGATCTGCATGCATCTGCTGCTCATTTAGGAAGCTGCATAGAAAGCAGTTGCGATTTCCAACATGCAGATACTGTGATACAGGCACCTCTGCTGCTTTCTGAAGATGTCAGACATCATCAGATGGCCAAGCACTACTGGGACAGACAGCTGAAAAAAGCCGCCTGACCTTGGTTTCATTTAGTACCCTTAGTTACTGCACAGCCAGATTATCAAGGAGACCAACATCAGAGGTGTCCTGATTGCATACAGACGGGAAAAGCATCAGACAAAGCTACTCAGAAAACAGTTACTGTTTGCTATGCAAAGGAACACATTTTATTGCCCAGTTTTATGCTCTATTAACCTGGAAAGAAAGCACGTCCGTTCCTCACAGCCCATCTGTGCACTCCCTATGAAGCACAGTCATTCTGCACGTTGGAGAGGCTGCTTAATATGACACCCTGAGAACCGGGGACTTTCTAACCCTGCCTTCAGCTGCTCATCCCTTCTGCAGCCTTTGAGAAGAGTTTTTGCCTCACTCTCCATTTTACCAACAGGAAAATGGGGACAATACTTGCTCTCGCTACCCACGGGGGGATTACGATAATGAGTATTCATGCAGCGCCCTGAAGATATGAATTATGACTTTATTAAAGATTTAATTGTGAAGAAATCCCTAGTTATTTAGCAAGTCCTTCAGAAGTAAATTTCAAGGCCACATTACTCTACATACCTTCAGTGTAAGGCAAATGACAATGACTTTTAAGAAGATCAAGTGCTGAAAACGCAAATGCGCACACAGCTGAATCAGAGTAAGGCAGCCTAACATCCCAGGTGAATAAACAGATGCTTTTGAAGTCATGACCCAGAACAACTTTAGCTCAGCTTCAAGAAGAGATGCACGACTGCTCAGCACTTTTGAACAACCTAATGCTAAGATTTAATAAAATGCACTCCAAAGGAGGAAATAATCAGAGTTGTTTCTAGCATCTAGATTTAATTTTCTGCTCTCCTCTGCTCCCCCATTGCTCCCCATGTATAGCAACACGAGAAGGAAGACCTTTATGGATGTCATTTTAGAGATTATTCTTCAGCTCGGTTCCTGCAGAAGGCAGCAGGAAGCTAGATCACACGCTGAGCAGCTCTGGTGACATGACTTAAGCTGCTCAATTTAATTTTTGAAATTGTGTCTCTAGCCATGACTTAGGTTTTGTATTTTTATTGTGCAAGATGCTGAACGCTGCAGCTCTGATTGCTAACATCATCTGCTTGGTACAAACAGCTGAGACTGGATAGGGCTGTGGGAAGCCAAGTGAAGTCAGGGGATGGATGGCTGAAGTGATGTTAGCAAAACAAGAAAAATAAAACGTGAACCACCAATTTCATTTATCAACAATCAAATCTGATCCCTCGCCTCAGGAATACTTGAATTAATTTGGTATTAGTAGTTGTTGCCAGAAGGATAAGTAATTAAGAAATACTTCTGTTTAATTGAGAAACTTTGATTTGGTCTCTATTTCCAAAGTAATTGTTGTGAAAGGCAGCAATGCAAGAAGGACAGGGAACTGCTTGAAAGAGTCCAGTGCAGAGCCACAAAGATGATGGAGGGAGTGGAGCATCTCCTGATGAGGAGCGGCTGAGGGAGCTGGGTCTCTTTAGCTTGGAGGAGACTGAGGGGTGACCTCATTCATGTTTGTAAATTTGTAAAGGGCGAGTGTCAGGAGGAAGGAGCCCGGCTCTTCTCTCTGATGTCAAATGATAGGACAAGGGGCAATAGGTGCAAGCTGGAGCACAGGAGGTTCAATCTGAACATGAGGAAAACACTTTTCACTGTGAGGGTGCCAGAGCATGGCCCAGGCTGCCCAGAGAGGTTGTGGAGTCTCCTTCTCTGCAGACATTCAAAACCCGCCTGGCCGTGTTCCTGTGTGACCTGGTCTGGTGATCCTGCTCTGGCAGGGGTTGGACTGGATGAGCTTTCCAGGTCCCTTCCAACTCCCGATATCCTGTGATTCTGTGAAGTGCTGAGGCCATCCCTCTTCTTTCAGCTCCCTGAAAGCTTCCATCGCCACCCCTACTCCTAGCACAGTCTGCTGGAGCTCACACTGACCTGGGGAACCACTTCATTTCTTTATAGGAATTTTACTTTTCAGTAAAATTCAACAGTAATTTCATAAGAAGATTAATTACCTGATTTAGATCATATTTTAACCTGCAGCTTTATGTATAAAGGTACTGATATATTGCATTACAAATGGATATTGTAATCTACTGCCATGTTTTCATTTGAGCAATCCACAAAATGGGGTTTTTCCTTCCTACGACGCTGACAATTTCACTAGGATCACAAAATATTGTGAAATAAGGGCACTTCCTGAATCTCTCACAAGTTAACACCATCAGAAAAAAATTCCAAACTCTGTATTCTGAAATATTTGTGTGGCTGTACCTTGTAAAAAAAACTGATACCTTGTAATAATGTTTGAGGCAAGGCATAAAAAACCATAAATTTGACCATTTTAGGGGAGAGCCTCAAATTATGTTTCACATAATTTTAATTTTAAAGAAAACACCGAGCCAACAGCACTCCTGCATGCACAGTTTTCCCCAGAAGGCTGCCATGAAAGCTATGTAAATGAAAAGCCTACAGGCCAGCCGTTACCTATCCCCAGTTTAGGGAAATACGTTTTTCCTTCCACTGCGGCTCTTACCCAACTGATAAAGCTCTCTGTACTATGAAAATGATAGTATCACTCAGGATGGTGTAGTTACCAAATATACTTACAGATAACTACAAAAAGTTCTTGCTTTGCAAGAAAATCAAACCAAAAAAAACCACCAAAAAACCCATACATGGAGACACAAGCACTGAGACATTCATCTCATTTCTTATGATCTGCCTGGAGGTATCTGGTTTTTCCTGAAGCATTTTAAAGTTATTCTCTCAGTACAGTGGTCTTTTCCTATCTCTCTTTTTTTTCATCCTCCTCCTCCTCATTCTTCTTTTCTTCTTATATAGGCCCGCTGTCAGGACAGTTGGATGGTTGTTCTTAAAGCAGAAACCTATCTTAGGTTAGTACTTCTCATAAAAGCGAGAAAATAGGATCTATGTTTTCCAATAGGCAACACCATTTCTATGTTAATCCAAGAAGAAGAAAACTTATTGAACAAAAATTGAACTAATTTATATACAGACACATCCCTGCCAGACCTGTAGCCAGTCAGAGTTTTCATTTGGGTTTTACACATTATGAAGAAAAAAAAAAAAAAAGAAAAAAAAAGGCCCTGTCTACATGGTAAACCCCAAAACTGGATTCACACACATCACAGTTCACTGAATCTCCTTGGCTGAGGAGGGGGAAATCACAAGGAAAAAAAAGCCAGACAGCTTCACTAAGTCCTTATCCAGAAATGCAACTTCCTGGATATTTTGCAGTCAACATAGCTCAACATCCAGTCAATGAGTACTGGTAACAGATCATACACTAAACATGGGGTACAACTTAAAAGCTTAGGAGTATTTAGAATTCAACTAATTCTTCTCCACTCAAGGTTTTGCTAGATTTTAAGTTCTTTCCATGTATTTTGCTACACTGGCTGGAAGGGAAGGAGACAGCAAGGTTGCACTTTCCGTTTTATGAGCAGCTTGTTTCTACCAAGGGAATGCTAAGGCCTCCCTTTCTAATCTTTGCCTTCTTTTTACTTTGCCCAAAGGACACTTCTCCAAAGATACTGCAGAACATCAAAGGGCAGTTCCTGAAATCAGGAGCAGCTGGTAATTACCGAAACAAACATCCTCTCATAACCACACTCCAGCTCTTAGAGGTGGGGGGGAAAGGCTTCTGAACAGCTCTGCTTTCTGTTAAAGGTTAAAACTTGTAACCTGCAGAAAGACCATGTATTATAATGGTTTTCCTCTAACAAAGAGCACTGAATCAACCAGAGGAAGACAGTGAGATCTCCCAATCCAGAAAGAAAGTACCCTTTACAACAGTGTGTGTTTGAATACATTAACCATGGGTTACCTTAATAACAAACAACAAACCCACAACCACATGAAAAACCAAAGCACAGTGAGGTTGAGAATGCATCCACAAGTGCCCCGCACCTCAGCAGCTGGGCAAGCTGTAACACACAGGGCAAGGCAGGGAGAGAAACTGTACCCAACCTCACTGTCTAAGGGATGCGTTGGATTTTTCTTTTATTATTTTAAACTTCTCATCATCACAATCCAATTCCTGTCTTTCCGTAGCCTACGTCTGATCTTGTGTGGGGTCTTGGGAAACTTGCTTTTAAGAAACAGTGCATTTAAAGTTGTGGCAACTACATGCATGAAATTACAGTAATCATTTTTCTACACTAAGGAGGGAATACAGCTCAACAACTACTAATAATGATCAGGATTTGAAGAGTAACAAAACCATTGTACCCCTAAATTCAGCAATTCTGACAAGTTCATACTTTCATACACTGCCTTTAGTGTTCCAAAGAAACACTGTTAAAAGTTCATCTGTTTCTCCAAAGCTTTTGACATGGAAGTAATGAGGATATGGCCAGGGAATTGCCATCAAATCACTGTCCTACAACTGAAATATGTCACCTAGCCACACACCCTGCCTAGTCCACTGCAGTTAAATAGTGGTTTAAGCAGTTTCTAACAATATTACTTAAGTCACTGAGTACACCATTGCCCCAATCCTACACGTCACAGTAAACTGTGTGAAAAGAAATCAGTACCAGCAGACAAACAGGGAGACTGATGCGTATGCAGTGGGCTCCACTCTCAAAAAGTGGGACATGTAAAACACTGAAGATGAACGTTACCTTGACAGGTGGGGTACAGCAGCGGGAGGGTGTCATGACATTCACATCGGGGCTGCTGTAGCAGGGGCTCTCTGCCAAGTTGAGATACAATTCTTCTTCATTTTCCAGGTTGCTTTTGCTGTCCTGCAATGGCGAGATGCAGATGACGATGGCGCTGGTGTTATCTGCACGAAGCATGCGCTGCTTCCAGCGGCCCAGGGCTTTGTTCACCAGCATTTTGGCACAGGACTGGCGGTGCTCTCCCTTTATGGTAGAGGGAAGAGACAGACAGAAGAAGCAATCAGGTCCACTTCACAGATGGAAAATGGACAGTTCGTGTGGCACAGCCTGAGATACATATTCCTATATCTATCATATGCCAAAGCAGCTCGATTCAAAAACACAAGAGGAAATATTAATTGAAATGTATCTTTTGTCTTAGTGAAATAAAACTTTAAAATCAGTTTATGGTAGAATCCACATATATATGAGTGCTTTAAATCATAAATCTGATGCAATGATGTGCATAAATAACCCGGTCATAACACATCCTACAATTATTCCAAAAGTCTCTCAAGGGGTTTACAGACTATCTGATGCTCAGATGCTCCACTATAGAAATTCTCAACTGTTTTGTAAAATACACCAGAGAAGATTTTAATTCAGACTTTGTAAAAATCATGTAAAAACCAACAAACAATTGTCTGCATTGTAACATGCATCTTAATGGGAAATAAATTTCATTTTCTGACAACCTTTGGTATAGCTTTCTTAGAGAAGGAACACGTCATCTTCTTCATTACTCACAGATACCATCCTGGTAGTCAAGATTTCCCCAAAATGACAAGCAAATAACGTAAGCAACGTTAACACACATGGTACGTGACAGCACGTGGCACGGCATCAGCCACAGTGTAACACCTTCTGTTTTGCAGCAAAACTATGACCACCACCACCACCACCACCGCTAGGTACTTCTCATATACACCAGACTAAGCAGTTTTCAGAGGAAAAGAGTACTACATTTCCTCAATGACTTATAGCCGCTGCTCTCACCGTGAGGCATTTTTTCTCCTCGTGATCCTGGCACATGGAGATGGCATCCTGAGGTGGGATCATGTTCCACAGCCCGTCACTGCCCAGGATAATGTATCTGTGCTTCTGGGGATCCAGGGTGTGCACACTTGTGTCCGGTTCAGGAGACACAACAAATTCACCGCTGTAGAAGTCGTAGCTCCAAAGATCACCTGGTGAAGAAGAGAGCGGTTTTGAATTGTGAAGTTATACATGAAAATAGGAATCTTGGGAACTACAGAAAACATTGCCATGAAAACAAATACCACGAGTCTCAAGTCACCAACAGTAATGTGAAGTCATTTCGGTGCAATACTGCTGTCACTTGCCCATCGTGTTTACTAATACATAGCAATTTATGTAAGAATTTAAATTCACACATTCAAATCAACCAATATTTATAGGGTTTTTTAAGAGTAGGAGACCTAACCTTTTCAGAAAAAGGGGAAAATCTAAGGGATTAATACATAGAAAACAGTGCAACCTCAATATCCCAACTAAAACCGATCTGAACAACTTAAACTCCACACCAAACTTGCAAAAACCTCTCTTTCCAGTTATTAGTACAGTTTAAATCCTGACCTCTCGTACAGGGAACCATGGCAGAGCTTATAGCAATGGACTGGGGTTTGGGAGGGGTATCAGATAATACCTACATCACATACAGCATTAGACTTCAGTCTGCATCATGAGGGGATGCTGCCCTGCACACCCTAACAAGTCCTGCTCGTAGAGGGAAAAAAAAACAAACCCACAAAACTCAAACTAAAAAGCCTTTTTCATACTCAAGGTGCTAAACTGCCCTTTAAAAACAAAACCAAAACACACAACCAGAACAAACCCCAAAAAACCCAAACCACCAAAGGGAGATCCAAAGGGTTTGTGCATGCAGGTGCCACAGAGAGGGAACAAAGGGAGGAGGCAGAGGAGGAGAGATGGAAGCCTTTCCCTCACTGAGTTCTTTCCCATTCCTCCTCCTTGCACAGCATTAGCATTGCTTTCAAAGCCACGCAGAGCTGTGTTAGTGCCTTTCCAGCTGACCACCATGTGCCAAATTTTGGAGTTGGAAAGAAGCCACAGGAACAGGAGCAGTGCCTGGGTTCCAGCAGGAAAGCAGAAAACGAGAGCTAAAGCCTCTCCTCTGGAAGGCCCCATGCAGCGAACCTGCCTATTTTTAAATCTCTTTTGCTGTGCGAATGAGTTTGGGGCCACCTCACCAGTAACGACGGCCTGAACTCAATCTGAACATCACATCTGAACCTAAACATCTCTTGGCTTGAGTGCCTCCTCCACACCATCCTCCAGCAAAAACCACTCCAGAAGAAAAATGCATTTCCATATAAATTTATTTCAATTTCATTTATCAGGTACACTTGAGAACAATAAAAGCTTTTTCTAAGGTAGGCCTTTAAATCAAGAATGGTATTATGTTGCCCTAACACCTTCTCTTCCTTTTCTGTTTCTACATAGCTTCCTATAGTGATAAGCAAGAAAAAGTAACATTATTCTTTGCAAGCACTAGCTAGATTTTTCTGTAAAGAACACAGGGCTTTAAAAATAGAAATTAATTAAAATGTCCAAGTTGAAAAGCATACAGATGCTTAAGAAACCCAGTCAAGAGTAAGGTTTAGTACGGTTTCTTTCTTTGCTTTTCGCTGGCTTCAGAAAGCAAGCCCGTAGCCTCCTTCCGCATCCATCACCACCCTTTTAAAGATAATAAATAAGCTTTTTGTCTTCCTACTTCCTTCCATTAGCTTTGCCCTAAGCTATCACCCAGTTGAAAAGACTTCCAGAATCGGGAAAGGGAATACTTCAACTCAATTACTCCACTTCACCACAGCAAGCACCGATGGTCCATCCTCATTAAAGCACCAATTCACCCTCATCGGAGCAGCCAAACACATGCTTCTAATAAGTGCTAATTAAAAGCCAAGCCTGCTTGTATAGAGGTGCACTCTCCCTCCACAGACTCACAACAAAGCAAGCCAGCTGGCAACAAGATCAAAATAAATACTGTAACCGAAAAGCTGAGCTCCAGCAGAGCAATTACTGTAGAAGAATCGCCACAAAAAGTCCTCATACGCTGAGAGTTGTGCACATCGTGTCTGTCACGGATATGTCGGGCAAAATAAACACGGGTTCAGGATCTTGCAACCACCACATCTTGAAATCAGTGGCAGCATCCATTTCCAACATGCATAATACTTCCATGCTTTTATTTGCTAGTTTGTAACTCCTCTTAAATGACTATGAACAAATGTTATTATCTGAATCATGTTTTTATTAAAAATACTGTGCTGTATAAAAATAACCTGATGCTATTGAATTTTGGTTCATCTACATTCATGTCATCATGCCCATCTGCTGTTCTTCCTGAGAAAACAGCTGAGCAATAACCATATTGATTTCAGAGAATTTCCTCCAAAAGAGAGAAGGCTCCTCATGGAGGCAATCTGCAGTATCAAACTGGTTATAGAGGAGACTCCAAGGATTAGAAACCCACTGAAGGGCACAGAGAGATCCCAGGAACACACATCATGAGCCCACACTTCAGCAGTCACAGCCCAGAGGCCTCACCGGGAGCCCAGAGGCCTCACCGGGAGCCCAGAGGCCTCACCGGGAGCCCAGAGGCCTCACCGGGAGCCCAGAGGCCTCACCGGGAGCCCAGAGGCCTCACCGGGAGCCCAACCTTCCCAGCTGCCATTGGAGCCTTCCAACCTGTGTCTCCCCACAATGATCCGCCCTTCTGAAGGCCACCGAGGTGCGGGCTTGAGGCAGGAATCACCAGCCAGCACGATGCAACTGGCACTAGAACGGGTGCCAGACAAGCCGGTAACAGCAGTCCCCATCTTGGGCAAATCCATGCGCAAATCTGCAGCTAAGCCACACCTCTACAGTGCTATTACTGCTCTTAACTGGGGAGGGGGCAGAAAGAGAGTAAATTAGATACAAGAGAAAAATAATTTTTCCTGAAACTAAATAGTGAACAGGAGCTTAGACTAGATCCAGAACTCACAGCTTCCACGACTAAGTTCATTAAACATGTATTTTTTGGCAAAATGCATTCTTTCAAATTATCTCCTGTAGCATCACCTCTGTCAAAGCAGCACTGCAAGTTTGCTGTAAATGTAAAGTGAGAACAGGATCTCTGTGAGTTTTAAATTCAACTGTACTCAACCTCTTCAAGCTCAAAAATCCCTGGGAAATACACAATAACTTATTTAACAGAGCTGTATGAATGGAACAGCACAATCAAGTATTAACTGACCAACTCCAGACAAGTCTGGAGCTACTGAAAGCTAAATGGAGCTCTGAACTGAAAAGATTTTGTTCTCTGACTCAGGGAAAAAAAGTCCACAAAGTATATTTGAAGGCTGAGGCACACAGAAAAAATCCAGGTTCTTCCTTCCTCTGCCCAAGAAGGAAACAACCAGTGTTTGCAATTGCCCTACAGAAAAGGGGAAATTGCCTGCAGTGCAGTTCTACTCCTTTAAACCCATACTCTGACTACTCAAGCAGGCAAGCGATCCTTGGCAGAGCAGCCCTGCACAGAGCACCTCCCCTAAGAATCATCCTCGGATCGTCAACTCAAGCCAGCAAAGGCCAACCCGCGGCCCTTGGGTGAGGCACTGCTGTATTTACTCTTCTCTCCCTGCCCCAGAGGGCAGAGCAGCACAGATGAAGGCCGTGCTGTTCAGAGCTGCTGCGGAGCTGGAACGCTCCCGTTGCTGCGTGCCTTTCTCTGCAGAGCACAGCATCCACGGCCGCTGAGGAGTCTGTCAACCTCGGGAAGAGTCACTCTACACGGCACCCTGGTTACACTTTTGGGAAGGAAAAGGGAAAAGTAAGCCAAAAGCAGAGTGCACTTTTCCCTGGGCTTTTCATAGCCCTCCAAAATCTTTAATTCTGTCCCAGAGTGAGCAGACAGAGCAGAGACCTGTCAGCAGGCCGGGGAGCCAAGACAGCGCGAGAACGTGACATGGCAAGGGCTGGCAGTGCAGAACCAGAGTGACGGGTTCTCAGGCTTCACCTTGCGAGCCAGGCTATTTGTGGTCCGAATTAAAACCCAAACATTCACAGAACTTAACAATCCTGTTCTCCAAAAACTTACAGAACAGGAATATGTCTTTTGGTGTGAGGCTTGTGTATTTCTTTTCCAAACAAACAAACAAACAAAGATATTAATGTAGTTCCTTCCGGATCTTCCAGAAATATCACACTTGTTTCTTAGTCATGACCGAAACTAGAAAGTTATACAGAGATCTACACAAAAATTACACTGTGGTTACAAAATGAAAAATAGATGTTTCAAATCATATACTGAATGAGCAGGAAACCAATTTAGCTGCCTATAAGAATATATGAAAATATGTAATCTTATCTGCTTGCTATTACCTTTTAAAATGCAATCAAAGAACCCACTTGTAACTCAGCTACTGCCAGGAAAGTAATTGAAGTCACAAACAAAAACACCCATCAAAAAGTAGACTGGATTGGATTAAGCCAAAAGCCGCCTTACAGCAAAAGTATGCCCACAAGTTGTAGAAATCAAGTCTTTCGTTTCTGTTTCTGGAGGATGCTGTTTTGAATACAAAAATATCTTCTGGTTTTAATAGAGGAAAGAAAAGTTTACTTTTATAAGTCAGTCCGAAACAAAACCCCAGATTGATTAAGCCCAGATCTTTTCAAATCCAAGTTTTACCTAAAAGGCCTGTTAGTGCAAAGAGAAGCCTTGCAGAACATCCCAGCAGCACTGCCTCACTGGCAGTGGAAAAAAGAAGCGAGCCCAATCTCAGGAAGGACACAGACAGCAACCACTACAGACATGCAGGCTGAGCCAGGGTGGAAAGCGTCTTCACCAGAACTCATGGCAACTGAATCCCACAGCCACGAGAGGGCATCTTCACAGCAGTCTGGAGATGAATGCAGTGCAATAAATATCCCGTTCATATGCCACAGAAACAGCTCAAGACAGCTCAGTCTGAGGGACAGGACAAAACTGAAGGTAGCAGCAAGGAGAAAAGCGACACAGAGAGCACATGAGGGTTTAAAACGTTCCCAGCTCCGTTAGGAACGCTTTTTTAGGAGCTGCTTTTACATACTATTGCAGTCAGATATGTTGAAACAATGACACCCTCAATACTACAGAGGCAAGAGAACAGTATTTCAACAGCAATTTAAACAGTAACTGCATTTTAAGTGAACAGTGAATCAAAAGCTGCTCATAAGACAGTCTTCACCATGACAGCACATCTCTGCTTCTATGTCAGCAACATCACGGGCAAGAGAGAGAAAAGGTGTCTGTCCAGGGCTAGGCAGAGCACACTGCAGGAGAACAGCCTGCAAGAACTCGTACGCAAAAGTAGAGGTGAAGAGCTAAAATGGCATGCAGAAAGCTACTGACAATTTCTGGCCTTGAAATAAATCCTTCAACTGAACACTAAAGTAGAATTTCAAGCTTCAAAAGACAACCCCAGACAAATTTGCTTAGCTGAAAACAAGGGGTAAAACAAGAACGAACTGACCAAACCTGGATCAAGTTCCACCTTTGGGAGAAAAGTTTTATTATTGCTTTTCTGTACTGCCAAAGAAGAGAGAACTAAAGAGGCATGCAGAGACCTCCAGTCTGCCAAGGGGCGGGGAGTCCCAAATTTTCTCATTTGAGCTAGATTGATCCACACATGCTTTCACATGACCTGTATAACACACAAAGCACATTTTGTACAGGCATACATACACATTTTGTCTTGGCTCACGTTTCAGCATTCATTAATTAAAAAAAGAAAAACAAAGCCCGAACCACGCAGCAAACAGCTACAACACTGCAGGGCAATCCCTCACTACGGAGCCCTGGACAGCTGCAGCTCTTGGCTCTGTATTAGCTCTCAAGAACAAGAGAGGAAGAGGAGGAGGGCAAAATGTCCATAGAAGATTTACTAGATTTAGACCTGCGTGAATTTACCAACCAGAGACCCTGTATGACTTGAAAAAACAATCAAGACCCACTTCTGCCATCACACCACACATTACCAGTCAGCTCGATCAGGATGGGGAACAGCTGGGGACATGACCTTAAATAGCAACTAAAGAAAACTACAGTGAGTTTGTTAAAGTTGGTTAACCCACAAAGCTCAGTGAGTAATCACACCATTTGTCTACTTGTTTCAGTTACATCATGAAATATTCAGAGCTCAGACTGTAGCTTTTCTGTACTTTCCCTACGTTGTGTACCATCTGCCAAAGTTACACACATGGCCAGATTTTACTTCAAAATTGGTTTTCAGAGATCAAAACCCTTCATTCCATTTTTCCACAAGGGGCTCAACACATGGGAACAAAACACACATCATCTTGTACACTTACAGCCTTGTGTTTATCATCCCAGAAACAGGTCTCAGTTAATGTATTTAGACAGATGTTACAGCTGAAATGTCACCTTGCTGCTGGCGTGTATCTGGCTGTTATGGTACACATACACAGGGCAGGTTCTTTCCCCAAGACACGCACACTCATGGGAGCCTACAAAGCCTTCCCGAGTGCCACAAGGAGTTCCCGTCTCCCCAGGGAGACAAAACCCAGCCCTGATGCAGTGGCACACACAGTCCTCACAACACATGAGCAAGTGGCACCATGGCTTCTCGCCCCTGAACATCCCCTCTGTGGTACCCAGCAACCTGCACGCTCACAGCCTTACCATAAGTGAGGGATTCAAGTAATTTGAGTTACCCCACACCTGCTTTAGGGACAGGCACATAGCACGGACAGTTACCATGAAACTACGGGTGCCAGAGGACTTACTCAAGTGATTACTCTCCAAGGAAACAAAATGCTCGTCTGATCAGAATGGGCAGCAAGTCTTGAGGTGAACAACTCAGACTGCACGGGATTCGTAAGTATCTATTACAAGGCAAACTGGTATATAGGAAGATGTTCCCATTGCCCAGAAAAAATTGGCAGAAGTAGCTATGCTAAAGCAGAATACTCTGCTATAGTTTAAAGTATTTCATTAAAGACTTAAAACCTGCATACAGTAAAAGCGACATACAGGTACTTTACAGAGACAGTATGAAGCCTCAATATTTCTGACTTGTTATGGGGCTATAAATAAAATAAACATAACTTAAATGCAGTAATTTCTGTCATGAGAAGTAATAAAAAGTGCGTATCACATGTGCTCATTTTAGGGCAGAAAGACACTGTAGCCAAACAGAACACTAAAGGGAATGTCAACAGAATTAGTCTGGCCAGAACTGCACCAGTATCCTTTCTGCTGTCCAAATATTTGACCAGTGCAACAATCTTCCAGTGTTTTATTTCTGCTATTTCTAAAACTTCTGCTGTACTCCTTTCAATGAGTGCTAGACTTAAGGACTGGATGAGGGATCAGACTGTATCAACGTATTTTAAAGTGTTGTAAGAGAAAGGCAAACTTTCCAAAAATAACTATGTTCTAAATTTTAGAGGTTTTAATCAGATAATCCTCCTGCTTTCAAGACCATAAATTCACAACTCTTAAGTCTCTCTCAATGGTGCAGAGCAGAGCGTTGAGACTCTCTCGCTCTTCCACTAAAAATCACTGTCCAATTATCGTCCACTCTGGGGTCTGTATGGGATTTCTATTAAGAGTAACAACCGAGGTTGGACTCAGTGAAAAGAGCCCCCAGCTAGGTCTCAGCCGGACTGACCAGAGCACTGGTACCCAGAACACATCCACGCTGACAGTGATTACCGTGCCGGGAGAGGCTCCAAGGCAGCAGCGCTGCTGCCAATCGGGGCAGCAGACTGGGAGCCAGCCAAGAGGTTGCGCAAGCCACAACAGCGTGAATTCAAATGGCCCGAGCCACGGTCGGTCTTTTGTAAGCGGCGTAAGGGGCATGCTGGCCTGCGAAAGAAGTCAAATCCTGTTTCCAAACTGTGAGCGTCTGTGCACCATCTGGGTCCTACAGAGCAAAGCAGCTGCGTTCCTTTTCCAGGAGGTTTGTTGTACCTCCTCAGGACGGGATGTGAGGAGGCTACGGCGGCTCCTTCGGCAAGGAAATGCCAAATCACTGTCACATTGCAAACCTGCTTCTCCGTGATTTGAAGATGTCAAAGACTCTTTTTAAGCTTTCAAAGCTGCTAACTTCTGACACCAAGAATTGTTAAAAGATTGGTATTCACATTTCTCAGACCTGAAGCTCTCCAGTAGCTCTCCTGAACCCTCTTCATCCACATAATATTAAAGAATGCATTACGGGGCTAACAGGTGCATCATTGCTTGAATTCCCACCTGCACACAAAACCCAGCCAAATCCTTTGGTTCCACTTGCTGAGAGGAATCAGATCAAAAGCCATCAAGCTATATAGACAAACTACAAACTCGCAATCATAGGAGTGAAAGATTCATTAAAATTAAGTACACACTTTGTTTGCTAGCCATCTACTAACTCCAACCGATTTACTCAAACTCTCGTCGGTTTTAGTAACCGGAAGCATCTATCTTGCCTAAAATATGACACACAATAAAGACTTCAGATACAGAGAAAAATATCCATAAAATTAAAATTTTACTTTTATTAAAAGCCACCTGTGGTGTCTTTCTTGATATACAGTTGTCTTTTACAATGTTAGTTACCACTGCAAACGTCTTTTTAACACTGGGCAAGAAAAACAGATAGCACTGCCTCTGAAATAAGACACATTAACGCTATGCAATTATCAAGATGAACACGGTCCCAGGAACAGACTGTCCCCATGACACACTGCCAGCTGATCTAGGAACGCTGACAACACTATCACATAGCTGTTGAGCTTGCCAAGAAGAAATTAAGTCACAGGACAGTTTTCACAGGTAAAAATATTACATCGTTTCCATAAAATTGAACCAGTAAGGAAGGAGACAAAATTAACTACAAAAGATTTGAATTCTGCAATGAAATTTAAGAAAAAACCTGACTAGAAAACACTAACACTCACGGGCAAGTGGTATCCAAAGACTAAGTTATAAAGTATTTCCCAAAAGCTATTCGTAACGAGTTTTCTAGGTCCTGTAATATGCCTTTCTGTCCTCCAGATCAAGTGTTCTGCCAAGATAGTTTCCCATTACTAATACTCTCCCAAAGGCAAGTAATAGACAAAACAGAGACTTGACCTTCATCCCTTCACTCATTCTATGCTGTCTTGAAGAAACACAGATTCACCACAAAAGGAAGACCAAATTCATATGCTATGCAGCAAAACTTACTCTTACCACCACTTAGTCAAAAATTACAGTCCTGTTATTTCGATAAAAGACAAAAGTGCCCTCCCATGCTGGGAGACACAACACCGCTCTGTACATCTTCAGTTGCAACAGAAACCAAGTACCATCCTTGAAAGACTGGCACCGAAAACCCTGCAAGCTGCAGGACAAGTCCTTCACTCACCAGTGACACTTCCTACCCCTTGACTTGAAAAATGAAATCCATACTGTATCAAAAAGGCCCAGACTTTCAGAAGGCCTCATAATCAAGCGAGTCCCTCTAAACGCTAGGTTTCGGCAAAACAGGGTACAGCTCAGCTTTGGTGGCCTGCATGCAGCACTGTCTTGCTTTCCAAACACGAGCATGACTTACCGAGCGCTCTGGCGACTGCCAGGAAGGGGATCTGGTCAATGACGGTGCTGCGGCGCACGGGGCCGTTGTGAGTCAGGCGAGGCCTCTTCCAAACCACGCGGTTCACGCCAGACTTGTTGATCACGCTAAAACCGACAGAAAGAAGCAGGGGTTAAAAAGGAATCGAATTGAAAACAGGAAAGTTAGTTTAAATGACACAAAGCCCCTTACAGATGCAAATATGGAGTCAATAATGACAGCAGCATCAGGGAAGTTCACAGCACAATTAAATATTTCAAAACACACTGTATCACTTAGATAGTTTCATTCCATATTAAGCCAAAGGGCAAAGCAAGAGAGAAAAGGCAGAATAAAAAATAAAAATAAAAAAACAGGAGAATGAAGACCTGGAAGAAATTCTGGCTGGCTGCAACAACCAGATGTAAGAGTATGTTTTTAATCTGTCAGAAAACAAAAGGGCAAAACTAAATTTGCTTTCCTCAGACGAGAACCATCAACATCAACTCACTCGGGTGGAAATATCAGAGTTTGTCCTTCAGTTTTCTCCATCTGCCAAAGTTTGGTGGTAAAGAGTAGCACAGTACAGTTGGGGAAGGAAGGAGAAAAAAAGAGAGAGAAAGGAGCAGCTTTCTGTAGGGATCTCCTTAATGGTGCACCAATATGAGGCAGAAATAGAAGAGGAGTTGTTCATTGCTCCCATCTGCTAAAAGCAGGAGATAGGAAGAAAGAGCTCTGCTTGCAGGCACTGAGCACTGGTTTTTGCTCTCATAGATGGCATTGGAAGGGTCAAAGGAGATGCTACAGAGCAAGTACACGGGGCAGGGGAGGCAGGGAAGGAAAAAGATCAGAGAGAGCACGAGCCACCAAGCAAGGAAAGGCAATGAACAAGGAACCAGCAAAGCCTGGTCCCAACCAAGTGAAGAACGAGATACTTAAAAGTTAGCTTTTATCTCAGGAACAGCCATTGGCAATTAGAAACTGAGCAGCTCTGGAACAGCCTCAAGATTCCTCACACTGAAGCCTTTCGAGAAGCACTTCCTCAGACTTCAAAGGCCTTAAGAACAAGGGCATGTTTAGCTCCATCTTCTCACATGCACAGTCACAGACACCACATTCTAAAATCGATCTCATCCATTTGTACAACTGATGACCACACAAAGCCAGCTTCAGTCATTATCTGACACAAGACCTCTTCCCACGCTCAGACTGTTATTAGGAAAATATCACTTTTAATGAGAGATTCAATTATGCTCTCCCAGTAACTCATCCCACTTCGCTCTCATGAAAGAGAAGACTAAGCAGAGCTGCATAGTCCCACCTGACTCTTACCATCTGCCTCACAACCGGGAAAAACGGGAGTACCAGTAAAAATAAAGATTATTTTAAAAAGCTAACAAAACAAACAAACGACAAACCCCAGCGCACACGCACAAACCACTCCTGTTGATATGAAGTTCAGGGAACGCTTCTTTAAAGCTTCAGAGACTTTCAGTCTCTGAAATACACAGCTTGGAAGCCTATACACTTACAAGCACTAACACACCAAACCTGCAAATGCTGCTTTCTGAAGAGCTACCGATACAGCTAACTGATCACCGTCCACCTGCCAGAGATACAAATATCTCAAGGTTAATGAGCCGACAGGGTTCTCGTATGAATGATGTCAACAGGAAAACCTCCAGTGATCTCTGCCTCCGAACTGCTGTGAGATGGAAACTGTGCCCGTCCATCTGGTGCGGTGCTGCAGACCGAGAGCACAGAGAGCTCCTGTGAAGTGACGCCAAACCCTGAGGTTTGCCTCCAATGGTTGGTGCCATCTGACAAACCTGTCCGCTCTCCTCCTCAGCCACAGGGAACACGCATCAGCCACAGTCGGAGATGCTCTAACAGCTGCCAGCTCCTGACAGCGAAGGAATCACTACCGTAAAGATGCGCGTTAAAACGCAATCAAACGTATGTATTCAAACATTTTAAGCGTACATTTAAACACAGCAAATACAGTATCTTGTTTCAAATTTATTTTTTTAATGTTCCTTAAACAGAAGCTTTGAAAAGCCCACTCAACAGCTGCCACTGTCACCTCAGGAACAATACAGGACGCATGAGAAATTATATTGTGTGTCAGAACTGCTGCGTTTCCACCACTTGACAAACCGGATATTCCAGAGCTCGTATTATTACCTATATGGGAAGGCAATTTTTCCCCCCTCAAATTTTAATGAAAAATAGATCAAATACCAGTGTCTCCACTTTCCAAGTTTTCAGTAAACATTTAGAAAGGTAACCACACCGCAGCTGCATGAGAATCCACCAGGAAAGTGAAATTCTGTTTATGCCACAAACGACTAGCAAAAAGCACAGCAGTGTAACCATGGATCACTGTAACTTATTCCCCAACAAGCTAGAATAAAAACAGAGCATAGATAGGAAAGGACTATAAACAGACTATGAGATTCACCAACTTGTTTGCCACCGCCCCAAAACAAGCAAGCTTAAGCCTGGCTCAGTCAGAAAGACACAAACAGCACCCAGAGATCAAAACTGCAGTAAAAAGCACAGAGAAGGTTACCTGCCCCCAAGGCCTTCAATTCTCTCCCTCTCTTTGGGCAGTTCTGGCTTGTGGTCCTGCGTCACCTCCACAGCTCTCACGAAGTCATCTTTGGGGTCGTCCTGGACTCCCAGCACCACTCCCGAATCGCCTACATGAGCGACGTACATCTTTGACCCGCGGATGATCACCACGCTGGCAGTGGTTCCCGACGTGCTGGGCAGACCCGTCATGGTCTTCGGCCACTCTGCTGCAATGAGAAAAAAAGCAAATAAAAATACCTTTGTTTTTAATTCTACGGAGCTGGTAATGCTTCGAAGACGGAACTGAGGGGTGTGTCAGAGGCTTGCGTAATGATACAACGCAGTGTGAGCTTAACTGCAGTGTGGCCAGGAAAGCCAGTGCCCTCAGGTCCCCCACTTCCGTAACATCACTCCCTGAGCTCCAGCTTACGTTGACACACACACATAACACCAGTATAAAAGCACCGAGACAGGACTCAAAAAGCCCTGCCTCCTCTGGTTTAGTATTCCAAGCATCACTAAGGAGACTATGGGGGAAGACGCGCTCCTGGAGTGTTGAACAGGATCGATCAAGCATTTTGTTAAGATCTACTGCTCACTTCCCTGCCTGAAGATGTAGAAACATAAGTTAGGTCATTCTGCCCAGACATGCGACTGGCTTTCAGCTTGTCTGGACACTCCTGTTTCCCTCAGAAGGAAAGAAAATGCTATTTCACTTTAATATGTTGAACATTTTGAGTTGAATAACATCAACTGTTTTATTCATACTTCCTTTTGGAGGACTGAATAATGCAGACTATTTAAGTATGCTATTCATAACCCAACATCAGATCTTCTGCAGAAGATATCCCTTGAATTCAGAACAGTAACATACCTATACTAGCATGAACTACACGTGGTTAGGGAAACCTTCTTTCTCAACTGCTTTGCCCTCAGAATATTTACATTAATTTCCTCTTACACTACTCTCCCCATCTATGTCTGAACCAAATTTCTCTTTCATGACTTTCTTGTCTATTTTTGTGTCTACACACCCAAGTTAATATTCTTCCAAAATTCCACCAGAGGATTGAGAGAAGGTCCCAATTAAGAGAGATAAGCCATGCCTATCCTCCTCCCTCCACCATCACCCTCAGAAAACAGAAATCAAGTTCCAGTTATCAGCTGATTTCAACTGTCACCAGCAACCTCATGCTTCTCCTTCACTGCACCCCCTCACGTCTCCAGACAGACTCAGAAGGGAGTCTCACCTCCCTGTCACATTTTATCTTCTGCACTTCGCAAGTCACTACAGCATAAAAATCCCACTGCGAGACACATTCTGCCTGCAGGAAACACCCCAGCCAGACTGCCAAAGCACTGTGTTATTTGTTTTCCTATGGCACAAGAAAAAACCACACACAACACAACAGAATTAGGCCTTCCTCTGTGAAAAATAGGTATTTTAAGCTTCAGAAGTTTTAAGCAGAAGCAAAAGATTAGGAACTTAACAAGTTCTAGTGCCACAGGTGCCTGTGGCAAGAAAGTAAGACATGCTGAAGGAGCAGCAGAATAATGCAGACCGATGGTAAAGGCTGCATTTCCTCAGTGTGAGCTACCAGGATACCCAGCATAATTTAAACACTGATGTTCTAACACAGAGTTCTAGCTTTATATTCTAAACACTAAAATATGCTTTCTCCTTAGGAGTAGCTTTATTTCAAGAACACAGACATTCAGTCAGCTTATTGGAAGTACTTTGTCTGGCAGTTGTAACTGTGGATGTTAAATCTAACACATTCCAAATGGAAAGCAAATGAGGGAGGAAGCCAAGTGGTAATGAGGACTTCAACTGTGCACTTAATAGAAAACAAGCTGCAACTAATGAGTTTCTGTCAGTGTAAGAACCCCACAATAGCAATAAAATATATTAGAGTCAAATCAGTCTTTATGGGAACGAAGAGAACAGAGTGTGAAATCATCCACTGATGAGGAAAAGCACGATACAGCAGCCTCAGCTTTCAGGGTGCAACAGAACCAGAAACTACCTGTCATCAAGGGATTTCAGTTTATGCCTTGCTCCTGTTTAGAGGTTAGTATACATAGCAGAGCACATGCCTTTCTTCAGAGATTGTGTCCCATCAGACATAAACGAAAGTGTCAAAACTCCCCAGTTTAATTCTGAGCTCAAGTATTAAAACCGAAGTCACTCACCCAAGTCCCCCACAAACCAGGAGCACATCTTTACAATCTTGGGACTCCAGCAGTAGCACATCTTCCTAGAAGAATTCTCCCCCTCCACTCGCAGAACACTAGTCCTCACTCAGTTTTGTAAGGGAGTTCATAAACTCAACTGTGTTTGTGGCTGGCACATCAGCTGGCAAACTGAAGCAGTCACCTGCTGCCGAGGACAGGAAGTACGAAGTGTCTTGCTTCATGAAATTTTACTTGCTTGCCTCTTTACTTCAACTTTCTTCACTTGAACAATTAAAAAAAATTCTAGTGCAAACTGGGTAGAACCCCTTAAAAAATATACAGGACATTATCATCAAAGTTTTCTTCCTTTCTTCTTTTTCTTTTCCTATGTACTACCACGACTCAGAAAAACTCTTCAAATGCTATCTCTAAAGACTCATATTTATATACGAGGTAAGAAGAAAAGAAAAAGAACAAGATACAAGACAAAATATTATTCTGACTTAAAAAAACCCCTGTATTTCTTTTATGAGACACTGCAATAGTCCAAATGATCAGGTATGATCAAAAGCCATTTTCTCCTCAAACTAACTGGGATTATACACCAATTAACAGCTAAGGTTGACAGCACATTAAACTCCTCCTTTGGTAGAAACATCAGCTCCAGTTGCCACTCGTATTTAAGCACAGACATAACACTTCTCTGCCTACCTGGCCACACCAGCTCCAGTAAAAAAACAAGCTTTTTCTTAAGCACATATCTGGCATTAGTGACGTCCCTTCAGAGTACCAATACTAAATGCCACCCACTTCTGAGTTCAGAACTTCACTTCAGGAAATTCAGAGCGTATTATTTCCCATTTCGCAGACCACACCAAGTTGACAGATGAAAAGAAATTCTGAAATCACAACGAAGCTCTCAAAACAGAATTCACACTGCAGTGAGACACCCGACGTGTCCACAAACCACTCCTGCAGCTTTAGCAACACAGAAATACCTCTAGGGAGCCCTCTGGGAAAACACAGCCAGTTCAAGCTTCCTTCTGGGCCCGTATCCCTAATTCTGTACTGATTGTTGCGAATCACTAAGGTATGTATGAGGAACACAAACACATCCCAGGATGGACACGGTTCAACTACAGCTGGGAGGCTTTAAAGCTGAAAACCTTTCTGAATTAGGGTTATGAAACAGCGCAGCGCACACTGACGCAGCTGATGTGAACACAGCATCCAGCAGTGCACCCACAGCACTGCGTGTCACAGGCTCACAAACACCACATTTTCCAGTTTAACAGATGCACTTCCCACTCTTCCAAGAAAAAAAAAAGATAAAAAGGGGGAAAAAAAGCATGTTACATGTTCAAGCTATCTGAAGTGATCACATTTCTAATCTAGTGTGATCCTCACAACAGCAGACAGTTTCAAGAGAAGTCCATGCTGTTCTCCAGGACTGCAAGTTGTTTATACACAACTTGCCATTACTGCTTCCTTTTTCCACCCTTCTGGTGGAGGGGCTGGAGAGAGAGGTAGGAATTAGCCCAAAACAACCAACCCATCCCAAACAGTCTGCGTTACGCCAAAAGATGGATCCCACACCTGGATTCCGCATCTGGAGCAGAACCAAATAATCTGCCACAGTCTAAAGAGCATATTCTGGGAATTAAGAATTGCTAAAGAAGATATTTCATTTTTAGTGTCTATGAAACAGTTAACTAAGTCAAACTACAAGACTTAATTTCAAATTAGTTTGATTCTAAAATTCCTATTAACAGTTCCAAAAATAAATGCTACATGAACATTTAATACAGCAGTAGACCCTAAAAATGTGGCATTATCCTCAAAATCTGCATTGCCTTAAGTAGTCTAGGTCCTTTTCAGATAAGAATACATACATAAAATTCTTAAATATTTCTAAGAACAATCCCGAGATTATAACTTTGCAGTGAAAATAACAAAAAACCTCGTTGTTACACAAGTGATGAAAATATTATTTTACTTTTACTGCTTTAATTAAATTTAATAGGAAGAGTTATAACGAAAGCAGAAGCATGCAGCTCTTTCTAAACTGTAACCAGTAATGCTGAAAAATGCTTTTAATAGTATCAAGCTAAATACAACACTTTAAAAAAAAAAGCCAAACCTCTCGGCTACACAAGTAATGAGTTACTGAAGAAACAAACCAATGCCGTCCTCGTAAAGTCACGTCGAAGTGTGGGACCTCCTGAGGATGCTTCTCGTACAAAAAACCTTTCCTACCACTGCCAGTCGTAGAAACAGGCTTCAAATAAGAACTTTTAGTCTCCAAGCTCTTTAGCATTCAGAGAACTTTACTGCCACATAAATAACGCCAAAAATGATCAACAAAGCAGTATTTCTCGGGGACTACCCCGCAGCTCCCAAAAACTAACAGAGCAGCTGCGTATGAGCTTCTCTTCCACCGGCCACTGACTGAAAGCAATGAAGACTCTATTCCTCACACCCAAAATCCAAGCTGCTCTCCTGCCCACCCCCATTTCAAGGGACCATAATGCACAGTCTCCCTCTCCCGTCCATGTTGTCAGCAAAACACAGTTCAGAAGGTACGGAAAGTTATTCACTAAAAGTAAAATTTGCAGTGGGATTCCGTAACGTAGCATGAGAAGTTGTAAACTAGACATGGCGATGCGTCTGTCCCGTAAAACTCCAGCTGTTACGCACACACAGCAGAAATCAGTAAGACCAAACACTGAAGTTTGCTGTACAGCCCACCTAAAACTGTCATCAAATGCCTACAGCCAGAGCAATGCTGTTTCTCACAACAACCTAAATCGGCTCCACAACCCAAGTACTATTTGCTAAACACTCATTACTAAAATAGTATTTTCTGCATTCTGTCACTCCCCTTCTCTCCATTTTGTGTTCTCACACCAGTGTCACAGTGACAAATAACAGACCAGGAATACTACAGCTCAAACTCCTTATCTCTCTCCTCCACACCATCATCCCCCGTTCACACGTCACAGCGCGGGAGCTGATGTGCCGCTCAACCCCAGCATCAAGGCTGTGGGCAAGCTCAGGCGCTTCCAGAATTCACACCCTTTCCATTCTGTCCTGTATTAGCGTGCTCTCAACCCTGTCCTTCCCTCCCCCTACCTTTTCAAGCATCTAGCATTTGCACAACTTCTCTATTTTGCTATTCAAGAAAAAGGAAAACGAAAATGAAACTGGTTTGACACCTATTCCCCCCATCCCATGAATCACTTCGTTGAAACACCGCGGTGCTGTGAAGTGCAATTCTTGCTTTCTATGTTTCTCTCTCAAGCCCAACTGTCAGTATCGCTGTCTGTGGTTTTGATCCAATTTTACTGTGCTCCCCTCTCCCGCCAGCCTGTCTTCATACGCTGTTCTTATATTTTTCTCTTTCTGGGGCTTCTGAATACATAAAGGCACACACAACACACACACACTACACACTGTATGTAAACAACAGCCACACTGTAAGCAATAACCTTCACCTTACCGAGGAAAAAATAATCCCTTTCAGAAACGCAATTCTGAAGCCTCACTAGGGAGAGGGAAGAGTACAAGAATGACAACTGTCACCTGTCCTGTCACTCTCCCCTCCTTTACACTTACCTATCTAGGACCCCAAGCTCCAGCCTTACTGCAGTTAAGCAACCAATCTATATAATCTTGAGGATAATATATGTTTTCTGTTTTGGCAGGTACCCTGCACATTCCCTGCTGCTCAAACGATAAAACGAGTGAACTATTACCCTTTATGAAACAGCCACGTTTTGCATCCTTCCATCAGGACTCAACAGAAACAGTTGGAATCAAGGTAGTTAGGGAAAAAACACCGTCCCAACCCATTTAAGGATGCTAAAATTACTTTTTTTCCCCTTTTCACGATACTCTGGACAAGGGAAATCTCAGTCGAAGTTCCATGCAATTCCTCCCAATAGATCAAATTTGGAGATCCAGCTTGCAACACCCTGTAAACAAACTACTGCCCTATAATCAATCGTCCTGCAATTTGCCCTCACCCTCTGATTTTATCTTTTCTCCCCCAGTCTGCTCTCCAGTTTTTCCTTTTTTTTACCGAATAACTTGGTTCAATGCCTCAAATCACATCCCGCTTTTTCCTCTCCCCCTTATTCCCTGCACACGGATGGTAGCGATGCTACCAGCAGCGCGGGTGCTCTGCTGCAAGCAGAGATAGAGGGAAGCTTTCAAGCTCGCAACTCACGATAATGGGGGGGGAGGCAGAAAAAGGTGGCTAAAAGCGGGGCGTCCCACACTCAGGGGATCCCAGCGTACGGGGAAAGGGAGCGACCGGCGCATCGGGATGACGGGGCGAGGAGATTTACTGTCCCCTTAGTTCTCACCGCAGGGCCCTGCCGAAAGGAGAAGGGGAACACACAAGGGAGAGGTGCGGCCGGGCGGAAAGACCGCGGCCCGGGAGCGTTACCTGCTCCCCCGGCGGGGACAGAGGCGGGAGGGGAGCGGGGCCCGGCGGAGCGGTGGCGGTTGGAAGGCGCCAGCCGCCTGGAACTTACGCAGCTTTTTCCACATGGCCCGGTGGCACGCGATGAAGCCCTTGCGCAAGGCCGCGCAGACCTCGGCCGGTTCCGCCG